CCTTTGCTTATGTAAGATGTGTTTCTCCTGCTCTCACTCACAGCTGCCTGTGTTCTTTCCCCCTCAAACAAGTGAAGATGTTGTCTCGAAGTCTCTGAATTTTAACATCAAATACAGAAATATAAGGCCAACCACATTTCTGTTCCTTTGTGAGAAACCTAGGGGTTTCCCCCACCCCACCCCTTCCAAGCTGTTTTTAGAATTTTTCTTTTTCTTGAAATTAAAAAAAGAAAGTTCTCCTGCTAAGTATCAATGGTGGGGCCCTGGGACACTGTGAGCCCTTTCTACCTGAAGAACCTGTTCTTCTTTGGCTTTTGGTTTTCAACTCAAAGTGTCTCACTCTGGTCTCTTTATTCCATGTATTCTGAGATCCTTTCTGAAAGCCTCTGCAATTCATAGGTCAGACGCCTATCCACTCAGTCTTCCCCTCTTTCTTCTTTTTCATCGGTATATCCTTGTGTTCAACTTTCTGGTTATTCTCCAAGTCTATCTTATGTGCTACTTTTCCTGCTATGCTCATTCTGCCGTTCACTGCCTTCAGCTCACACTCTCCTGTTGCTGTTGTTCTTCTGGTCCCTATCCATCCTCCCCAAAGGCCAACTTCCGTATCACACAAGACAGGATCCCTTCTTTTGAATGCCTCTCCACATGTCACAGAATCCACACCATTGTTCTTACGGACCTAAAAGCCCCCATGTTTTGGTGTTTTTTTTAAGATTTTATTTATTTATATGAGAACAAGAGAGAGAGAGAGAGCTCAGACAAGCAACGGAAGGGAGAAGCAGACTCCTTGCTGAGCAGGGAGCCTGATGCAGGACTCAATCCCAAGACCCCGGGATCATGACCTGACCCAAAGGTAGACGCTTCACTGACTGAGCCACCCAAGTGCCCCAACCCACTTGGTTTACACTGGAATTTTTAACTTTATTTATTCTTGATATATTGTTATCATTTTCAAAACTGCATTTCCATTAGGTCTTCAAGAGCCCCCTATTCAGCTGTGCAGGACTTTCCCATAGACGGCATAATGCTCTTCTCTTCCCTTACCCTTGAAAGACAAAGGCTTGGTTTGGGTTGGGGGTTAACCATATGGATCATTCTTGGAATTCTCGATGTCTGCTGCAGCAAGAGTAGAGTCTCCACCTCCATGGATGGCTTCGAATGTGCCCATCCTAAGTCTGATTTCCAACATTTAGCAGTTGATCCATTTTCTAGTGCATTTTGCTAGCCCCAAACAGAATCCTCTCTCGATGCCACCAGTTATCAGGAGGAAAGTGAGTCATGCTCTCATTCTCTGATCAGATGTAATCATTTTTAAAACATTTGCAAGTACCAGGGGCAGACAGAGAGAGGCTGAAGGTCAAGCTACTTCCCATCTACCCCTAACCTTTGGTCTTCTGGGGAGGAGGCCAAGCTGCTCTGGGCAACTAGGGCTTCTTGGCGACAGCACTTTAGTTAGTGGTATTATCTCTGGAGTCTGGTGAGGAGGCTGTTGGCGAACTGTTATCTTCCATCTCAGTGTTGCTGTGGGGATTTCTTCTGTCTGACAGCATGGGTATTTTTATGGGAGATGAGGAAAGGGCAAGGCAGGCACTGATAGAGGGGCCCCATTTTAACTCCCAACTCAGCACCTTATAAAAGCCCAGAGCTGTGGTTCTCAGCCATGGCCACTCACTGGAATCACCTGGAGGGCTTCCACAATTGACTGGTGTCCTGGCCTCACCATGGCCCGCCAAGCAAGCCTCTGTGTGGCGGGTGGAATCCAAGCATCTATAGCTTTGAAGCTTCTCTGGGTGACTCCAGTGTGCAACCAGGGCTGAAAACCTTTAGCCCAGATTTGTAAACAATGGTAGGGCTTAGGTTCTCATTCAGATTCTAGCCCTAAGTGACCTCGGTGAAGTCTTTTAACCGCTTTGTGCCTCAGTTTCCCCCATTCTAAAATGAGAGTGCTAAGGCTTGCCTCTGCTCTGACCACATAAGGATATAGTGGGATAAACACAGGTTAATGAGGGTGGAACTACCTAAAGATTCATGACTTCAGGGCCAGCAGTCCAGGTGCTTTGTAGGCCATAGGGTGGTGGGCAAAGTCATTCATTCATTCACAGGTACCTAGAACACCACAGGGCAGCCCCTGTAGGCTCTCTGCTCCAGCCTTAGTACTAGGAAGGAGACCCCACTACTTTTGGAGTCCCTGGCTAAACCCAGGGTACTCTTCTAGGGACACTGCCCTGTCTCAGACTCCAGGGTGGGAGAGCTCCAGTTGAACACAGGTAGACATCTCAGTGGGAAGTGAATGGGGAGGCAGGAGGCTTGAGGATTGGCATGGAGCTCCTGAGATCTGCCAGCTTGAGTGGACCTGCTGAGGCGGTAGGAACAAATGGCTTAGTGGAAAATTCAGACAGAAAGTGAGTATGTGCTTGAGCTCTCAGGTACCGCTTTTTCATTTTAAAAACACCAGGAGAAGACGCCTGGGTGGTGCAGTCGTTAAGCGTCTGCCTTTGGCTTGAATCATGATCCCAGGGTCCTGGGGTCGAGCCTCACATTGGACCCCTGCTTGTGCTTTCTCTCTCTTTGTCAAATAAATAAATAAAATATTTAAAACAAAACAAAGCAAAAAATACACCAGGAGAAAAGAAGGGGTTCGGAAAAAGCTGGGATCCAGAGTAGCCAGATCCAGGTTCAAATCCCTGCTCTGCCATTTACACATAGCCGTGGGCAAGCTGGGGAACTTCTCTAACCTCAGATTCATCGTCTATAAAATGGGGCAATAGTAGGACCTGCCTTGTGGGATCATTGCGGTGATTACATGAGATACCACAGTTGGGGCACTTGCCTCAGTGTCTGGGGCTCGATAGTAGGCTGCGGCTCCCCGTTTTTACACACACACACTTTAAACTGGTCAAACTCTGAAACTAATAAGTCATGACCCAGGCTCATCAGAAGCAGGGACTGGAGGGACATCTCTTGGTGATCTTCACATCCAGCTCCAAATTGGCCAGCGGAGGAGAAGGAGGCGGAGGTGCTATCTGCCCTTTTAGGCTTCTGGATGGCACTACCGTCACAAGGGACAGACGTTAACCCAGTCTTCCTTGAGGGCCTTCCTTCTCTGGAGATTCTGAGATGCTGTCATCCAGGAGAGTGCTCTGCCAAAATAAGCAGTGGGAAAGGGTACTGGACAGTGGGAATGGCACACGGCACGTTGACAGCCTGTTCCCTCCCGTGTCCTCCTGGTGGCACAGTCACCCAGATCCAGAATCCTGGTGTCATCTTTGAGTCTTCCTTCTCCATCAACCCTGAAATCCATCCCTTGGTGACTCTTTGTCTTGACAATGTCACTGGTACCATCCTGTACCAGGCAGCGGGTGCTGCTCAACAGGCAAGCGCAGAAGTCCTAGTGGCACTAGGAAGGAGTGGATGTTGTGTTGCAGAGAGATCCTGCATGTGCGAGTTGGCTGGTGACCACCTGACCTAGTCTAGATTTGGGTGGGCCCTGCTTCACATGCCTCTCACCTTCCCTTTGGGACCATCAGACCAGCCCACAGGTGGCCTTCTCATGGCAATGGGAGGAACCTAGGAGAGGAAGTGTAACTACGTAAGGCTTCTTACAGCCTCAGATCAGAACCAGTACCCTGGGGCAGTCCTGGTGGCCCAGCGGTTTAGCGCCGCCTTTGGCCTGGGGTGTGATCCTGGAGACCCCGGATCGAGTCCCACGTCCGGCTCCCTGCATGGAGCCTGCTTCTCCCTCTGCCTGTGTCTCTGCCTCTCTCTCTGTGTCTGTCATGAATAAATAAATAAAATCTTAAAAAAAAAAAAAAGAACAAGCACCCTGTCGCTTCTGCCTCCTGCTGTTGGCCAAAGCAAATCATATGGCCAAACCCAAAGACAAGACAGGGGAAACTGATTTCTGACTATGGTCTAACCTACCGCAGGTTCTTATCTCCCAAATGCCAGACAGCTCAGGTTTCATTCAGCCTGTGCTTTTGCGGTGGCCTCCTGGCCTGGGCTCTGCATCTGTGCCATGTTAACCTCATAAGGAGCATAGATATGACCGTGGCATTTCATGACCCACCCCAAACCTCTGCCAACCATCACAGAATGCAGCAGCTCCTTGGCTGGGTTCAATTATCCATACTCTAACCCCACTCCTTTTCTCAGACCTGACTCCTGTTTTTTTTTTTTTTTTTTTCCCTCTCTACTCCACCTGTGCAGGACCCAGACCATGTTATACCTGCTTATTTCCCAAACACCCATGTTACCCTCCCCACATCGTTGTTCTCTCCACCTGAGATGCCCCATATTACTGTGTCAGAATCCTAGCTCTTTCATGGCCTTCATTTCCCATTGAGTGACAACTGCCTCTGAGCTCACCTGGAACCCCGCAGTGGCTTTAGTACCTTCTCTCTTGTATCACAGTTATGAGTGAACATGGCATTTCCTAGTCCTTAATACAGTGCCTGGCACACAATGGGGCAATACTGCTTTTGAGGAGGATGAATGAATGCCTCTCATCCTCCTACTATCTCTAAGCCCCTTGCAGGCATGGGCCATAGCTGCCTCTAGCCCGGTGCTAGGGCCATTATGAGCCTCGGTCACTAATTGCTGACATGCAAGACAATACTCTGGTTACTCTCCGTCGTGTAGAGGGCATGCTTTGGGGATTAGAGCAAAGGGAAGTGGTTTAGGCACAGGGAGTTGCATGGGGGAGATGATAACTCTGGGAAAGGTGTCATCTGCCCTTCATCTCACTCCCCCATCTCAGCTTTGGGATCAGTGGAGCAAGGCTGAGGGGCCCCCAATCTGGGAATGGAAGAAAAGGTGCTGTGGCCAAAAGTCAAAGTGGCCCTAACACCTACGAGTAAGCCCCCACATTCACACTCCAGCCAAGAGGCACCCCTCCCTCCTTACTGAAAGCATGGGGTTGACCAGTTGCCCAGAGCCAGCCTTTGGACAGTAGGTACCACATCCAAGCAAGGCTGACTCAGTCTCTTGTGCCTCCACAGAAGGACTTCACAGTGCGGGAGGAGCTTCAACAGCAGGATGTGGAGCGCTGGCTTGGCTTCATCACCTTTCTGTGTGAAGTGTTTGGGACCATGCGCAGCAGCACGGGCGAGCCCTTCCGTGTGCTCGTCTGCCCCATCTACACCTGCCTCAGGGAGGTAAGAGACCCGCGTGCGTGGCTGTGCCCACTGCCCTGCCAAAGAACACCACCCTGGAACTTCTGTAAGCAAAACAAAACTCCAACGCGCCAGCATGGCTACACCGCTTGTACCACCTAGAGTGACAGGGCCTTTGGTAAACAGAACATAACTCCCCACACTTCTGTTTACTAAATGCCGGTTTTGATTTATTGGGTTTATAGGAAGGGGAAAAAGCTCTCCAAAGGGAATTATTATTAACTTAGATTTCCGTAATTCATAATCTAGAACACTGCCTGCAGGGAGGAGACCTCTGGTAAATATTAATTGGATGACTGGATCTTTGGTCTGGATTGGTTTACCATTAAATTATTTATTTAAAAAAATACTTGCTTCTAAGTTTCATCTGAAAGATAAATAAATAAGAATAACCGAGAAACTTTTGAGAAGCAAGAGGTCAGTGGTATACTTGCCCTACCAAGTACCATCACCCACTTTAAAAGGTCATCCTGGCTACCCTTGGGGGCCAGAAGCCGAGAGCTCATTACCGTGCTGTTGGTGGCATCCAGTGAGAGGCTGGTGACTCAGATCACAGCCGTGACGGTGCAGAGGAGGATTGCATTCCAGTTATATTTTTGAGTGGGAATCAACAGGACCTGCTGACATGAGATATTGGAGAAAGGAGGAAGTGACGTGGGCTCCTGGTTCACCAGCCTGGTGGCACCATTTTCTGTGATGGGGAGCGCTAGAAGAGAATTGAGGGGGGTGGAAACCAGGAGGTGGATTTTTTCCTGTTTGGGTGACCCGGTGTGTGTCCCCAGAGAACTGTCCCACTGTTGCTTGGGTACAAGTGCCTGAAAATCGAGATGAGGCTGGCCCTGGGGACACAGAGCCGAGCATTGTATGAAGTGTCAGTGTGTACCTGGTGCTCAAGGCCGGGGACCAGGTGGGGTCACCCGGGGAGACGGTATAGATGGAGTAGATGGAGGAATGACCAGGAGGCGGGGGTGGCAGTTGGGGTGAGGATGTGAGTGTGGACGAGTCTTTGGAGAAGTGTTTCTGTGAAAGGCAACAGGGAAGGAAGAGCTTGTCAACTCAGGGGAGGTGGGGTCAGAGGACATTTTTGTGTTTTGCAAAAGGAAGAAGATAATAGAGCAACGTGAGAGAAGGGAGGGGTATCTGTAAGTGGTTTTGAAGCCTCCGTGTATGGGAAGCGGGGTGCTTGTTGCACCGCTGTGGGTGCTCCCTGAAGCAGAGCTCAGGACCCCTCTCTGGCACCTTGTAGACCTATCCCCTCTGCCACTCCATGCGACAACCCTGCGCACTTGACTTCACAGTGTTGCTCAGACTCGGCAGCTGGCCCTTCCAACAGTACGTCACTCCCAGTGCCATAAACTCAGAACGCAGCACACGAGAGGCCTTGGCTACGCTTTCTGCCTCCCCCAGGGGTGATGAGAAGGCAGCCCTCTTGGATGATGGCCTCGTGGAGCCCCCCCATTCCTGCCTGGGCGCCCTGTGCCCCTGAGCTCATGGCAGGGAGTGGCACCGTTCGAGGGCAGTGACCGGGATTGCCCCCACACGTTCCCTCCGCGTGATCCCGGCACCTCCCGGTGTTGCCCCCACCTGCTCCCCGAGCGGGAGGCAGGGCTCCAGCTGAGCACTGGCCCCGGCTGCCAGGACACTTCGAGCAGCGCCTGAGGAAGCGTGAACTTTCAGCTGTGAGATCCGGAAGGTGCCGGGAGGTCTGCACAAAAAAACCACAGAGCTTCCCCTAATGCGCACTTGTTGGATGCAGTCAGCTTTTCAGGACAGTGTCACAAACACAAGTGCCTGCCATGCTCACAGTGACCTTGAGGACTAAACGGTTCCCCGACAGCTCTCACCATCTTTTTTTTTTTTTAAGATTTTATTTATTTATTCATGAGAGACACAGAGAGAGATGCAGAGACACAGGCAGAGGGAGAAGCAGGCTCCATGCAGGGAGCCCAATGTGGCACTCGATCCCAGGACTCCAGGATCGGGGCCCGGGCTGAAGGCGGCGCTAAACCGCTGAGCCACCCGGGGATTCCCCAGCTCTCACCATCTTGTGAAAGGGTGACCCAGAGCCCACGTTCCAAGCTCTGTGCTTGAGGCCCACATGAGGTGGTTCAGGAGAACCAGCCCTGGCCTCACATCACCTCCGCCAGGCTTTAGCTGTGCCATGTAGGGGAGAGTTCACCCCCGCTGGAGAGGGGATCGCGCTGCTCACTCCGACAGGGTTCGGGGAGAAAGACATGGTGTGGACAGGGTGCTAAGTGCAGCCGGACCATTAGGCCAGAATGTGGAAGGAGGTGCCCCCGGGGCTTGTTCTAGGGCACGGTGGCCCTCAGAGAGCTGGGCGTCCTCTAGTCTGACTTCAGGCCAGGCACCTGCCCAATCTTAAAGGGGCACAGAGACTGGAGTGCCCTGCCCGGGACACATGGCCAGTCAATGCCAGAGCTGGCCCAGAGCTTCTCCACTACCAGAGCTCTTTCCAAAGAGAACTTAGCTTCCCTAAAACAGGGCCTGAAGAAGAGACGGAGATGGAAAGAGGTGACCTGGGGATCATACAGTCCCTGAGGACACCCTGAGCAAGACCCCTGAGTTCTTGGCTCCAGGCTCCCTGGAGCAAGATCCCTGAGTTCTCAGAGCCTGGTGCTGCTTCCCCTACCTTTTTAGTCATGTACGCACTTACACCCAGGCCTGACCGACATTCCCAAAGCAGGTTGGGCCAGCTCTAAAAAACTTCCAGAAATCAAAGCCGCTGCCGTTGCCTCGCTCCATGCTGGAGGAGTTGAGGCTTTTCTCCTGGGGCGGTGCAGATGGCTGACCCAGATGCCCCCTTGTCCTGGATACCAGGACCGGCCCGGATTTCCAGCTACCCACTAGATGTATCCCGGTCATGCCTCCAGCCCCTCCAACAAGATGTGGCCAAGAGTGGCACCCCCAAGGCCCTCCTGCTCGTTCTAGGTTCTGGCGTGGGCCTTGACCCACCCTCCCTGCCTCCCCGCGGCCAGGCAGCCACCCCAGGACTCCCCCCATTGCCTTTTCTTACAGGCATGTGTCCTCGGCCCCTGCATACCCTCCGTGGATTCCCCTTTTCCCTTCCCAATAGGCCCTGAATCAAGCGTAGACCCACAGGCCCTCTTGGTGGGAAAATCGCATTTAGGAGCAAACTACTAGGAAGATACGAGGTCCTCAGAGCCCCGCCGCAATCTCGGTGTCCTCGGCTCGCGGAGGCCGCCCTCCCCAGACCTGGGCCTCGTCGGCCTCCATCCCCCCCCCATCTTGGCCCCGAAACCCCTTCAGACGGGAGGCCCCCCAGGGCTCTGAGGCTGCCTGCCCCGGCAGGGAACCCCCTGCTCACTTCCTCGCATACTCCCACCTCGTCTGGTTCTCCTGGAGACTCCAGCTGAGACCTTGCACGGTGTCCTGGGAGCAGCTCCCTTCCTGGCCACAGCCCTTCCCAGGCCCAGCCCAAGCCGCTTCTCCTGGGCAGCCCCCCACCCGCACCCCACAGAGCACAGCCCCAGCCTTGCCAGGGCATCTTAGCATTTTGGTATTTGGTAATTTCGTATTTATTTGGTCATTTAGTATTTAATAACGACTAGGGCACAGCAGAAGGCATTGTCTGAAGCACATCATGCGTTCTTTTCTCTTTTGACTCGGACAACACCCCGAAGCTTTTCATCCCCGGCTGCTGCTGGAGAACAGAGAGGTCAGGCAGCTTGCTCAGGGCCACCCAGCAAGGTGCACCTGGGATCCAGGTCCGACGGCTGGAGTCCCTGCTCCTGGCCGCTCTGCTTATGCCTCGAGAAGCATTTTTTCGTTTCTTTAGTCCGTAGCCCAAAGCGTGCTATGCAGCAGAAGCCAAATAGCTCATCGTGGAATGGATTCCACTTTTGCCGTAAATAACGTTTACGTTACTTATGTAGATTATATGTGATCAGGCCTTTCTTTGAGGGACGGAGAAGGATAATTTTCAGTGAGCCTTTTCATTGTTTGAGCACAAATGGCTCTGCCAACAGGTTTTCCAAGTGACTGAAAAGTATTACGGGTGCCTCCAAGATGCAGGCGTCTCCTTGCCCTCCTGTTTACTGTTCCTACTTGCTTCACGAGTTCTTTTTGTATTTTTGGTTTTTTTAAGATCTTATTTTTTTAAGTAATTGCTACACCCAACGTGGGGCTCGAACATACAACCCCGAGATAAAGAGTCAAACGCTCTACCAACTGAAACAGCCAGGCACCCCCTCTTTTTTTTATTTTTTTAGTGTTTATGTTATTATTGTAAGAACACTTAATACAAGATCTACCCACTTAACAGATTTTTAAGTGTACAGTACAGTGTTGTTACCTGTAGACACAAGGTCACTATGGCAAATCCCTAGAATTTATTCATCCAGCATAATTGAAATTTTGTGCTCAGTTTTTAGCAATTCACATTCTACTCCCCGCCCCCTGATCCCCAGCCTCTGGCAGCCACCTCTAGTCTTTGCTTCTACAAGTTTGACTATTTTAAATACCTCATGTAAGTGGAAATATGCAGCATTTATCCTTCTGTGACTGGCTTATTGCACTTGGCATAATATCTTCCAGGTTCACCCATGGTGTCCCATACGGCAGAACTCCCTTCTATTATAAAGTGCAATAGCAGTTGCACAGTTGACCTTCGAACAACATGGGTTTGAACTGTGGGGGCCCAGTTATATGTGGAGTTTTACAATATGGTACTGTAAATGTATTTTCTCTTCCCTGTGGTTTTCTTAGTAATGTTTCCCCTAGCTCTCTTCATTATAAAAATACGGTATGTAATACATATAATATGCAAAATATGCATTAATTGACCATGGATGTCATTGACGAGGCTTCTGGACGACAGGAAGCTACTAGTTAAGTTTTGAGGGAGCCAAAAATTATATGTAGATTTTCAGCTGCTCAGGGGTCAACGCCACTAACCCACACGTTGTTCAAGGGTCAGCTGTATTCCACTGGATGGCTGTACC